TATGTAATGAGGCAGAATATTCCAAATGAATGCTAAGGAGCACCCTTCCTAGCATAAAAATAAAAAGCTGTCTACCCATCACTCTCAGTAGGTGTGTGATGGATGTTGCTTTGAAAATGTCTGCATATTTTTAGAGAGCGAGAGATGGAAACAGCGAGCAAGAAAAATAAGTAGGCTTTTGGCTGAACATCAAGGGATTAAAGCCGAGAGGAAAAAGGGAAATGAAAGCAACAGGAGGCAGACAAAAAGAAACATAAAAGTTACACTGGCAGGATGGCAGAAAAAAATCTGGTGGGATGTACTGAGGGGAAAAAAACAAGGGGAACTAGAGACATCTGCTGGACAAACTTCACTTGGGTCAAGCTTTGAATCAGAGGCCTGGGGCCCGTTCTTCGTACCTCGCTTATTACATCCGAGATGAAATGTCACATCCAAGACAATATCATCGCGCTAATCAGGATCTGGCTAATTCGGTTCTTCAAACGCACCTGTTGTTGATGATTAGTATGGCTGGATTGAGTTATCTGAGATAATTGCGTGTTCATGGGTTGGTTTAAAAGGGGCTATGTATCGATACTCGAAACCACGATCAACAATGCAGCGATTGGCTGGCGGCAAGACAGCAACGTAATGACGTCATATAATTAAAAAAGACACCTGACGAAAAACTTGACAAATTTTTGGACTTTTATAAGGAAACAGCCAAGCGAACAAAACTACATTAATCTTATAATAGATAAATGAAATGTGCACGGTTTTTATTTTATTTTAATTTTTTTACATGATTCCCAATAATTTATATTCACGATTTCTAATAATTGTACAGGCTTTACATTTTTATTTCAATGTAGTAATTAGCAATTCATTTAATTTTATATTTGAACAGATTTGTTATGTGACAGCATTAATTAAAGTTTCTTAAGAGTCATATCACTGAATATTCGAAAGATGCCACAATCCTGCAGAGAACAGCTCAACGGCTCTGTGCGAACCTACAGAATGGTGAATGACGGCAAGTTGACCGTTCCAAGATGGCGGCCGCATCTACCGGTTTCAAACAGCACACGTGATATTTATCTACTTCGGGTCCTAATTAGGCAACTACCAGCACATGAACTGTTGTGCAGTGCTGCTTACTTTATAAAGCAGTAAAAGTGCCCCTTTCTGCACCCAAAACCAGTCGTCTGTGAATGAAAGTCTTAAACAAGAACTGGTGGGACGTTGTGCTGCTCCACTTCGCAGACGCTGAGTGAAAGGGGAGTTTTATAATGACGGGACACTCATTTATGACACTTTGTTCACCAGGAAGAACAGCTCGTTCCGCGTGCCATACGTCAGTAACCTATTTCTACGTCACTGCGCATGCGCAGTACTTCCCAGTTTCGGTTTTCAATCCGATTAAGTGTTTACATGTCCTCTCGCTCGGATTACAAAAGGAATAAGCCACCCCTTACAATACAATCCGATCGAAATTTTAGTCGGATCTAGCCAATTCAATCCGATTGACGTGTTTACATGTGACTTTTTTTATTCTGATTGTGCTTCAAGTCCTATTACGATCGGATTAGTAGGGTCCATGTAAACGCAGCTAATGATGAACTGACTTTAACTGAAAATGTAGTGTTTCTTGCATTATCAACACTATTTTACTGTTTTAAGGCCCGTTCACACCAAGGACGATAACTACAATATAGTTGGAATCACTTTCAGAACGATTAAAAAAAAAATAATAATAATAATTGACACCTAATCAGAATAGTACGGAGCCCGGGAAGTCACCTGTAGGAGAAAAAAAAACAATCCGTGCGCACGCTTTCGCAATCCGTTCCCTCAGGTTTGTAAACTGTACTCACGGATTCATGCAGTAAGCTCCTAGGTAGCCTACATGTTAACGAATCATATTGTATATTGTTTTATTGCATACTATTATGTGGAATAGGCCTACAGCAAATAGCATTTGTGATTCTCTATCAATTGTAACGGTACGAGGTGGAATACAACGATTTAATAAGAAAGATGTGCATCAAAATATTTGTGATACTCTTAGCACTTGATTATTATTGTATAATAAACCTGGCATTGTGACTGAATTTGGAGTCATTTGTTCCTCTTTTGTAAGTCATTTTGGATAAAAGCTTATTCTAAATGCATATGTAACTTAAATGTATAATAATAATAATAATTATTATTATTATTATTATTATTATTATTATTATTATTATTATTATTATTATTATACATTTAGGTTACATATGCATTTAGAAGAATTTATTGTGCATGCATATTATATGTAAAGTTGCTTAAGTGAAAACAAGGAGTTTATAAGACTGGTTTATTCATTCGCTATACTGTAGACATGTAGAACATATCCGCGTTTGTGCATCAATGTCTGTAATGTGTGAAACTTTTAGGAATCTTATCCGAGTTGTAGGCTAGTCAATATTGGTCAGTCAGTCGTATCTGACATAAAGGATCAGCGATGGAAACTGTGACCACAAACACCATTAACTTAAGTGAATTATATGGCAATAATCAGCAATATGCTTTCACACAAATAACTTTATTTTTTGAATGTTTCAATATGTGTTGACACAAATTACTTATTTGAATTTTTCATTGATATAACATTGCATTGAGTTGTTAGAAAAGAAATGCGTAGAGACGTTATTGCTTGATGACGTCAGGAACCGATGAATCGGCTTTTTTAACCGGTTCAATGAGCCGATCTGTCCGAAAAGAACCGGTTCGCGGAAATGAATCGGACTTTGCATCACTAATATTTATGTGTTCACTATGATATCCTCACCCAGCATGTTAAAGATGAAGTCTTTGGCCGTGTGCACCTCGAGTGCGGTCTGGTCGCCAAACTCCCCCTGTTCCAGCTGCACCAGCTCCTGCACCTGAGCCGACAGCTGCTCCAGAGTCGTGCCCGAGCGGAAGTCCACCTCGGACCCCCGCTTCACCGTCGCCGGTGCACGCGGGGCCACGGCACTCATGAGCGTCTCCATTGAGCATTACCTGAGAGAAACCACATCAATATTACCAAACGGTCACAAAATCATCTCACTTATACTTATGAATATCAACGACTCGTTATAAATGTGCATTTTAATGATAAAATCTTAGTCTTAGAATGAAGGCTTTTTACTTTGCTAACTATGCGAGTGCCTAGATGTGGACTTTTTTGCATTTTACTTTTAGTCATTTAGCAGACGCTTTTATCCAAAGCGACTTACAAATAAGAAAAAGTAATTAAAACTAAAAGCTAAAACTCTATAAATACTAATATATATATATACACACAAATTTAAGAAAATAAAATAAATTCAATAAAAATGACAAATGCATACACAATAGGATCTGCTTTTTTGACATTTTAATGATTAGTTTTCACTATTTATTACTTATTTTAAACATGTCTCACCATTAAATGATAAACACACTGAACTTCTGATGCAGAAACAAAATAGCATTTACTCAGTACCACTAATTACCCAACTCAAACTCAGATTAATGTTTAATACCGCCTAAATATTTAAACGCAGGTTAGTTATTCACAGCGGCTGAAGCGGAATGTGGGTCAGTGGGCAGATTAATCCGCTAATTAGCCAGCTAATGTCTCTCTAGCGAAACAACTGATCCACTTGACAGGTCATTATTATAAACATAGCGACACCTCTGAAATATGTAATCTAAGCAAGAATTCCCCATGACATGTGCTGTATGAGAGGGAATAGATTGTTTTCTTGTGATAAACGAGCATGAGATGCGTGAAGATCAAGCAGCCTAAATGAGCCGACTAGCAGGTGTGGAGCGAGCTAACGTGCTAACCAGTTAAACACCTCTAGATTCAGCGATGACTTTCGTTGTTTATGGTTTACACACACCCTGTTTACCGCTGGCTCGGTGCGCTCTGCCGTAGACCCCGGGTTGTTTGTTATAATTTCTTTTCTGAAACAGGATTTCAGCTCGAGTCATTTCCAAAAGGTCCCCCTGCGCGCGCCTTCACTGGCGATACTATTCCCGGAAATCATGGACCTCCACCGAGGATCTTGGGATTAGTAGTGTTTTTTTTAACGGGACGCAAATGTATGCAGGCCATTAGGTGCAATTATACAAAAGAGTAAACTATGTATGTGCACTGATTTATGTCTCACAACAATCATTCGCAGTTGTTGGTAAATTCAGTTCTGTTTAAATTCTGCGTTTTTTCACTCTTCTATTATAAATCTATTTAAAAAAATATTATATTAGCCTATATTATATTATCATTTAGTTTGATTTTGAAGCAAGGATAGAAATGATCATTGGTAAAAAGTGGAAACACTTCTAAAAGGCAGCTATATTTTTTTTATTAATTATTATGTTATTTGAAAATGTAAACTTTTTTTGAAAGACATTTATCTTATGAAGGATTTAAAATAAATTCGGTTGAACTTTCGGTTCTTCAAAGAACCTTGAAACAAATGCATCTCAGTTCCCACAGAAAAGCAGCACACCTGTTTTTAACATCAACAACAGCAATAAAAAGTTTCAGCATTAGAATGTGGACCATGTGACACTGAAGACTCAAAATTCAGCATCGTCATCCCAGAAATAAATTACACTTTAAAATACACTGAAATAGAAAACAGCAATTGTAAAAAAAAATATTTCACAATATTACGGTTTGCTACCGTTTGTTTGAATGCAGTTAATCTTACAAAAATCCTTTCAAAAACATAAAAAAGAACCATGAACAGTGGTGTATTTGTATCTGGCTAAAAAAATTAAAAAAAACCTAGAAAGATACACAAACATTTTCATTACTTAAAAAAAAAAAAGATTTTAGAAACCATAATATTAACTGTAATTTTTTGATTAAAGGGTATAACTTCCGCACTAATGTATGTGATTGCTTTGATTCGTCGGAAAGAAGAAAGTCATATACACCTAAGATGACTTGAGGGTGAGTAATTTATGGGCTAATTTTCATTTTTGGGTGAACTAACCCTTTAAGCTTTGGTTCTTTATTCAATTCATTTCAAACCAACAGACACTTTGTTCCGTGGAGGTCATCAAGCAAAGTACAGCATAATGAGTATCATTCTTCTACTACTCTATTCATTTGCTTTCAGCCTGACGATGATCAAAAGGTGTTTATTATGTGAATTTAAACATGAAATTAATATCGTTTAAACAGTGTAGATTGATAATACATGCAGACAATGGTAACAAATCAAATAGAGTGCCAGGTGTCAGGTTTGATATCAGTGATGTTCAATCAGTAGAAACTCATAAATCAGTGACATTTGATTATGTCACTGACGTTCAGTCCACAATTCAAAGAGTGGCAGGTTAACATGGGCTGCATATAAAACCGCATACTTCACCATATAGTAGGCAACTAACTGTTTATGAAAAGAGTTGAATGACTGAAAAACAGTATAGCAGGCACAAGAGTAGGCGAAAAATACCCTGATGACTTACTAGTTCTGGTGAGATTCTGAAGTGCACATCCCGATGGACACTTTACTATCCCATGAGGACTTATGAATAGCAGTAAAGTGACTTATTCTGATAACATTCACACTACACGCATTCATACCAAACAGAACATTTTTAGCGGTCGTGGACTACTTACTTAAAACAAGTACCTACTCAGAGAATATGAGATTTCAGATGAAGCCATTTTCCAGTTTTGCCCTGAAGGTAGATGCCATATACACCCTTATAAAGGGGTGAAAGCATATTTCTCTACAGATATACATTTTAAAGTATCCAAGCACTGTAATGAAATTATTTATTTCTTGTTTTAACTGTAACAGCATACAGGTTTGCAATAACATTATCACAATGACATTATTATTCACTATCATAGATAGATTACAGTTTAACAATGCACAAAGTGCAGGTGACTTGTATCTCCCTGTCCCTAAAGGGATTTATTTTATAATAATGAGCGGCTGACTGCGCATTATCCTGTTTTTTTTTAAAGGCTACTCAGCAAATAAATGAATAAATAGACATGATATATTGATCTGTGTTATCTACTATTTAATAATGTGAGAAACAAGAGACCACAGAAGGATAGGAAACAGACAGACATAAAATGCTGCTATTAGGAAATCGGTTGCCTGGGACAACTGCTAATTTATACGATTTAGAATAATTAAGACAATATTACATAACAGAATACTGCTACTGACCATCAACAATAAAATATCTCAAACAGCCATATATTTAAAAGGTATAGTAGACATAAGGGATGTAATGTAAAAAATGAATTCTGATCAATTTGGGACACTTTGTGACAGTTAGGTGACTGAATTTACCTGAAATCAGCCTATATTTTAATGATATCAGTAATTACTGTAGTTATCATTACACCGATTCCAGTTTAGAGATGTTTATGTTAATGTAAGAATGATGATAAAAGGTGTTTACCAGAGCAGGTTTTCTACAGCGAGCAGCTCCTAACAATGCCAGACTGTGGTAGATGTGATACTTGTTTGCTGTATCATACAACTGAAGAGACAAAAAGAACAGAAAAAAATAGAACATGGGCTAAGTGTTGCACCTTATTCTAAAAAACAAAACAAAAACACTATCAATAATGCATGACATTCATAAGGTTTCCTCCGTTTTAAAAGCCAATAATGTAGGTTATGTAGTAAAAAATATTTGGTATATTACTCCCAACCCCATACTATGGAAGCCTATAGCCCAATTTCAGTGTTTGCAAACAGTGATGACGTTTTTTGTGGGCGGAGTCTATAAGGTGGCAGAAAATGCCAGTTTTAACGTAGCAGTCTGTGCAAGCCATGGAATAAAATAATAAAAAAGGCAATTTTGAGTTTGTATTTCAAAATTCTGACTTTTATCTTGCAATTCCGAGATTATTTCTCACACTTCTGATAAGAAAAATCAACTCGTCATTCTCTTTTTTCCCCTCGGTTCAGAATCATGAGTTTATAATCCCACACTTCCGACTTTTTTTCCTCAGAATTGACAAACACGCAATTGTTGAGTTGAATCAATTTTTAAAGTCCAAACTAGGAGATATACACTTGCACTTGCAAGGAAAAAAAGTCAGAATTGTGATATAAAATAGTTAAATGTTATGTAAAATGTTATAGGTTTAAATAATATTTCATGCTTTAAGTGTAGGGCTAATACAATATGTCCCCTATGTGAATATTATATAGACCTATTGTTTAAATCAAATTTATGCTTTAAAAGTAGGATAATCATAGCAGGTTTCATCCATAGTCTGTCCGTTTAAACGTCTGCGTTCAGCTTCAGCATGACAACAGTATTATATAAAAATGATTTCCATTCCAATTCTGACATCCAAAAGCACAACAATATATTTTTTCTCTTATTCCTTGGATTTTACCCGTTTCCCTCCACTTGTTCCCAGTGTTTTTCTGCCACCACAATGCGCGCGCAGCTGCAAGTGACGTAACTGTGACGTCTACTCCCGACAAACAAGAAAAAAAAAACATACCCTGCGTCTCAATGTTCATACTATCCATCCTAAATAGTATGCGAGATTAGAATTAGTGTGTCCCAAAGCATAGTATGTTGAAAAGAGTATGCCAAAAGTCCCCGGATGGTCTACTATTTCAGGTTGATTTTTTAAGTGTGGATCCGTGCACACTCTAATGGCTAATATTGCCCACAATCCATTGCGCTTAGGTGAAGGATTCTGTCCAGAACTACAAACA